TCTGCTAAGGATCATTTTCGCTATTTGTTGTCTTTTACTGTTTCATATGAATTTTTGGATTGCCTCTTCTATTTCCTTGAAAAATGAGGTTGGAATATTGATTAGTATTGCATAGAATTTGTAGATCACCTTGGGATGTATTGCCGTTTTCACGATTGTGATCCATCCAGTCCAGAAGCATGGGAGGTTTATCCACTTTCTAAGTTCTGTTTTGATTTCCTTTTTCAGGTTTTTAAATTTTCATAATAGAGGTACTTCACTTCTTCGGTTAATTCCTAGATAATGTATTTTTGGTGGCGCTATTATGAATGGAGTTGCCTTCATGATTTCACCAACGCTTTCCTCATTGTGGTCATACAGAAAAGCCATTGATTATTGAGGGTTAATTTTATATCCTGCTGCTTTGCAACAGTTTTGAATCAGCTTCAGTAATTTGGGAGTGGAGTCATGGGATTCTTTAAATAGAAAATCATGTGGTCTGCAAAGAGGGAGAATTTAACTTCATCTTTCCCCATTTGGATCTCTTTTATGTTTTTTTTGTGGGGGGTCCAGTCATACAGCCTGAACAATGGGCCTGGGAACTGTCCCTCAGCTCTTCAGCTCAAGGCTAGCCCTCTACCACTTGAGCCATTGTGCCACTGCCAGCTTTTTTCTTTTTGCCTATGTGGTGCTGAGGAATCAAACACAGGGCCTCAAGAATGTTAGGCAATCACTGTACCACAAAGCCACCTTTCCAGCTTCTCCCTTTTATGTTTGCATCATGTCTTATTGTTGTAGATAGACATTCTAATACTAAATTTAAGAGAAGTGTAGTGAGTGGACATCCTTGTAATGTTCCTGAGTTAAGAGAAAATGACTTTAGTTTTCCCCATTAATTATAATGCTGGCTGTAGGTTTGTCATATACAGCCTTTATTGTATTGAGGAATGTTCCCTGGATTCCTAATTTTTCCAGAACCTTCATCATAAAGGATTTGTTGGATTTGTCAAATGCTTATTCTGCATCTATTGAAATAACTATGTGGTTATCCTTGCCATTTGTTGATGTAATGAGTTATATTAATTGACTTGTGTATATTGATCAATATTTGCATCCCTGAAATGAATCCTGTTTGATCGTGGTGTATGATATTTTGGATGAATTTTTGATGTCAACTGCTCAAAATTTTGTTGAGAAGTTTTGCATCAATGGTCATCAAAGAAATGAGTCCATAGTTCTCTTTCTATGATGAGTCCCTGCCTGGTTTTTGGATGAGGGCTATGATGGCTTCAAAGAATGATTTTTGTAGTGAACTTTCTCTTACAATTTCATTGAAGAGTTGGAGGAATGTTGATGTGAGCTCTGCTTTGAAGGCCATGTAGAATTCTGCTGTAAATCCATCTGGTCCTGGGCTTTTCTGAGATGGGAGGTCTGATTGCTGTTTCTATTTCAATGCTTAATATGGGCCAGTTAAAATGGTTTAACTCATCTTGTTTGATGTTTGGCATGTCAATAATTGCTAGGAAAAGATCTATTTCTGCCAAGTTCTCAAACTTATTAGCATAAAGGTTTGAGAAGTATTCCTTTTAATCTTCTGAATCTTGGTTTTCTCTGGGATGCTGTTTCCATTCTCATCTCTGAGTTTATTTATTTGGGTGTGTTCTCTTGTTTTTTTGATAAGATTTGCTAAGAATCTATAAATTTTGTTAATTTTTTGGAGAACAAACTCTTGTTTTGTTGATTCTTTCTATGTTTTTATTTTGGATTCTAATTCGTTTATTTCTGATGTAATTTTAATTATTTCTTTCCATCTACTGAATTGGGAATTATCTTGTTGCTCTTTTTCAAGGAGGTTCAGATATCTCACTAAATTGTTGGTTCCAGATCTCTCCAATTTATTGATTTAGTAATTAAGAGCTATAAAACACTCTGAATACTGTCTTTGCCGTGTCCAAGAGGAGCAAGTAATTTGTGTGTTCATTTTTATTTTTTGTTTTTTTGGCTTTTTTTGTGTCCGGTCGTGGGGCCTGAACTCTGGGTCTGGGCGATGTCCCTCAGCTCTTCAGCTCAAGACTAGCGATCTACCACTTGAGCCATAGCCCCACTTCTGGCTTTTTTTTCTTTTTGCTTATGTGGTGCTGGGGAATCAAACCCAGGGCCTCACGCATGCAAGGCAAGCGCTCTACCACTGAGCCACCTTCCCAGCCCCTCATTTTTGGTGAATATCATGAATATTTGAATTTCCTTTCTATGCTCTTCCATGACCCACTGGTGTTTCAACAGTGTGTTGTTCAGCCTCTATTTGTCACAGGACTTTTTGGTGCATTTTGGTGTTGAGTTCTAATTTTATTCCCTTGTGGTCTGAGAGAAGGCAATTTGAAACTATAATGTTTCTGAATTTGGACAAGTTTGATTTGTGACCTCAAATGGTGTATATTTTGTAAAATTTTCTGTGAGCTGATGAGGAAAACATGTATCTGATGCTACTGCGTGAAATATTTGGTAGATATCTGTTAAATTTAATTGATCCATGCAGGTGTTTAGATCTGCAGTTTCTCTGTTGAGTTTTTGCCGAGTTAATCTATCTAGTGTGGATAGTGGTGTGTTAAAGTCCCCTACAATTAATGTCTTTGGATCTATGTGAGCTTTGAGGGAAAGTAGTGTTTCTTGGATAAATCTGGGTGGTCTTTTGTTTGGAGAATAAATATTTAGATTTGTAATATCCTCCTGAATGGGAAATCCCTTAATTAGTATAAAACGACATTCTTTATCTGTTTTCACTAATTTTAATTTGAAGTATATTTTATCTGATATTAGGATAGAAGCTCTCACTTGTTTATGGGGGCTATTTGCTTGGCAGATTTGTTACAGCTTTCACTTTCAAAATGTGTTTGTTTTCATGGGAAAGGTGTGACTCCTGAAGGCAGCAGATAAAAGGATCTTGCTTTTTAATCCAACTAGCCTTTTTACGTGGCTTAATTGGAGAGTTAAGTCCATTAATGTTGAGAGTTAGGACTGAGAGGTGTTTGGGAGTTCCTGCCATGTTATCCACCTTCTGGGGGCTGCGGCAACTGGGTTCTTCCTATGGTTCTTGGATTCTCAGTTTGGGTGCTGTTTCTTGGCCTTTATTGTGATCTTGTTGGTTTTCTATTTGTAGGACATGTTTAAGTAGCATTTGTAGGGCTACTTCTTGGGAGATATATTGTATCAGATTGTCTTTGGGATGGAAGGTTTTTCTTTGACCTTCGATTATGAAGGAGAGTGTAGCTGGGTAGAGTATTCTTGATTGATAATTGTTTGTCTTTAGGGCATGGCATACATCATTCCAGGCTCTTCTTGCTTTAATTCTCTCTGCTGACAAATCTGAGGGGACTCTAATTGATTTCCTCTTATAGGTGATTGATCTTTTCTACTTGACAGTTTTATGGATCTTTTCCTTGGTCTGAATTGATACTGTGCAGATTATAATGCGACATTGCCATGTCCTGTTCTGGTCTGGTATATTTTGGGTTCTAAAAGCTTCTTCAATATGAATAATCCTAACTTTTTGCATGTTTGGGAAGTTCTCTGCTAGGATCCTGTAAAACAAATGTTCTCGACCATTAACTTCTGTTTCTAGGTGCTCCTTTACAAAGATTATCCTCATATTAGACCTACTGATGGTGTCTTCCAAATGTTGAATAGATCTATCCCATATTCCTTGGATTTGTCTTGGATAGTAGTATGTTATTTCTCTATAATATCAAGGCTGTCTTTAATCTCCAAGATTCTATCTTCTGCATGGTTTAACCTACTGTCATGACTTTCTACTTTGTTTTTAATTTCTTTTCCTTCTAGTTGGTCGGCTTTAATGGCTTCAAATTCTTTGTTAGAGCTTTCTTTTAGATCTTTTATGAACTTCTATACTTCCTTAATTTGGTGTTCAGTATTTATTCTCAAATGACTTAGTTGATTGTTTATGGTTTCCTTTGTTGCCCATTCCCTCTGCCAGGCTCTATTCAGGATTCCATTTGTGGTCTCCCTGAATTCTTTCAGCTGTCTCTTTATGGATTCCATTAATGTCTCTCTTGATCTTTGTGTATTCTCATTCCGCTCTCACAATTGCTGTATTTTTCTTTGATTAGCTTCCTCATGTTCATGCAATTCCTGAAGTTCTCTTTGACTGTTCTCAACCTGCTTACACAATACCTGTGTTTCTCTTTTTCTGTTATCCTCCTCCTCATGCAATTGCTGTGTTTCTCTTTGATTGTTGTCAGCCTGCTTATGCAATTCCTGTATTGCTCTTTGACTGTTCTAAATCTGCTCACGCATTTCCTGTACCAATCTTTGAGTAGTTTCTGCACTCTCACGAGATTCCAGTATTAATCTTTGGTTTGCCTCTCTCTCTCCCTATCATGCTCACACTGAGTCCTTTGCAGGTTTTCAATCTTTTCATTCACCATTTTTACCAGTATTGTTTGTACAGATTTTTGGGAACTGTCCTCTGGATTATTCACTAACTATTCTGTCAACTGTTTATCATGAGTGGGAGTCCAGATACCTGGGCTTCCCATTTTTCTTCTGTTTTTCTGGCTTTTTCTGCTCATTTAGTATGAAAGTAACACTAATTTTGTGCTAGAACATAATTTTAAGGCAAGCATCAACCAAAGTTTGGTAGTTGCACAGTCAAAAGGCTATAGACACAATCTAGTTCAACAGATACAATCTATTCAACATCAAACAACTATGGATTAATGGGCTAAGAATAGCAAAGAAAAAAAATAGCAAACCAGAAATTATTAGATGTAGGGAGAAATGTGGGGAAAAATAGAATTATAGGGTGGTGGCGAGGTAAGATGAGAGTGAATTTAACCAAGGCCTAATCTCAGAGAGGGAAATGGATTGGACAGAATGATAGGAGAGACATTAAGAAAAAAAAAACCAGAAAATATAGAAAAACAAAAATTTAAATTTAAAAAGATAAATACTTGGTTCCCGGCCCGGAAGGCCCGCGGGTCAGAGCTGTGCGTTAACCCGGCTGGATGGAGGCGGAGGCGTTGGCCGCGTCCATGCCAGCCCCGGGAGTCTCGACCGCCGTGTCTTTGGCCCTGGAGACAGCACGGTGGATGGAGGAAGTGATGCGCATGGCCAAAGACGCCCTTGAAAATACCGAAGTCCCTGTTGGCTGTCTTATGGTCTACAACAATGAAATCGTGGGGAAGGGAAGAAATGAAGTGAATCAAACCAAAAATGCTACTCGACATGCAGAAATGGTGGCCATTGATCAAGTCCTAGATTGGTGTCAACGAAATGGCCAGAGTCCTTCTGCTGTGTTTGAACGTACCGTGTTGTATGTCACTGTGGAACCCTGCATTATGTGTGCAGCTGCTCTCGGCCTGATGAAAATCCCGCTGGTCGTCTAAGGCGGTCAGAATGAACGATTTGGTGGCTGTGGCTCCGTTCTAAATGTTGCCTCTGCTGACTTACCAAATACGGGAAAACCATTTCAGCGCATCCCTGGATATCGGGCTGAGGAAGCTGTGGAACTGTTAAAGGCCTTCTACAAGCAAAAAATTCCTAATGCACCAAAAACAAAAGTTCGGAAGAAGGAATTTCAGAAATCCTGAACTTGTAATGAAAGACGAAAGCCCCATGGTGACCTGGATGGAATCCCCAGCCTGAAAAGCTGCTGGCATGGAGGGAGCACATATTATGTGTTGTTTGTTATTCTCCGGGAAGACTGAGAATAATATTTGCACTCTTAAGGGAACAAATTAGTGCTTTTTAAAAGGCTGACAATTGTAAACAACTGTTAGCTTCTCCACAGCTGAAAGAACATTTTTATGAAGGGGGGAAAAACTAAAGTTTGAGGTTTTAGGAATTAGCAAACAGTACATGTCTTTAAGCCACAGCTTCAATCCATTCCAGCTGAGTGCAGGCTGGGATTTCAGTGTCCATCCACACCCCATCACCTGCACTCATTTGGAATAGAAAGCCATGGTCACGTGTGTCCTTTACAACTGGCTTTTTGGAGGTGGAGTTGGATTTTCATTCTTTATAGCTGTTGTGGTCTCCCTGTGTATTGGCTGCGTGAGTGTGAGTGTGTTTGTGTGTGTGTTGGCTTTAGGGCTTGAACTCAACATGTTGTTACTCTCTGGCTTTTTTGCTCAAACTTGAGTCACACCTCCAGTCCTAGCTTTATGTTGGTTAATTGCAGATGAGTCTCACGGACTTTTCCCCCCAGCCTGGCTTCAAACTGTGACCCTCAGATCTCAGCATTTTTTAGTCGCTAGGATTACAGGTGTTAGCCACCAGTGCTGGGCAAGTCTGGCTTTTTTCTACATTGTATATTATTTGTATACACTGTATACATGTGATTGTGAAATCTATTGATTTTATTAAATACATAGAAAAAATGTTTTTAAACAAGTGCCTAAGGGTCATTTAAAAATTGTACCATGTTGCTATAATAGAATCTTAAGATATTTCTGTTTTTAAGGGGCAAAGCATTAAAGGACAATAACATAAATAAGACAGTTCTTTGGTTCCCTGAACCAAAACAGGGTCTTCTGCCTCAGCAAGATTATATTCTCACAAGGATGGATGAAAAAAACGTAGTTATATACTGGAGGGTGAAGAGTTCCAACAACAGTTGGGCATAGTGATACACATCTGTAACCCCATCACTTGGAAGGCAGAGGGAGTTCAACAAGGCACTGTCAAAGCAAAAAGTTACAGCGAAATTAAAAAGGAACAAGGTGAAGAAGAATGCCCACTGGTGTGAATGCCAGTTGCAAAATTAAGTAGCATGATACATTTAATCCGAAATCAGCTGTTCCTCATTTGAAAATACAGGTTATAACTGTTAAATTTAATACCTAAAATTTGAAACTGCACAGGAAAGAATATCCACAACAAAACTTTCAGTGTTACTGGGTGCAAGAAGTGTCCTGACGTTTGGCAGAGCTACCCCAGGTGCAGTATACGTCTCTTCCCAGAAGGGGGCCTCAGCGTTACACCAGAAGCCTAGTGCCAGGCCCCAGAGGACCGCTCCTCAGATGGGTTCATTTCTTCAGTGGATTCATTTCCTTGATACAAAGCATCTGTATTTGTTGCTTCTGCCATTTGAGCGATGTCTCCAACTTGTTTGTTTTGAATTACTTTACAGACTAAAATGAAATTGTGGTGGAAGTATTTTTATATTGCTGAGAATAGCAGCTAATCACAGTTACATGCTTCGAAGGACTTATAATTGCTTGGTTTTGCGTGTGGTGTTTTTAACGGCATTTGAGACATTTTATGAGGAAGGATATGCATGGTTTCAAATCAACAACAATGATGCATGCACCTTCAATTTTATCTACTCTAAAATTTGTCTTCTCATTAAATGTTAGTGCCATGAAAAAAAAAAGATAAATATTTTAAAACTATGTAAGTTTATAGATGATATTGAGAGAAGAAAAGGATAGGATGAGAAGAAGGGAGGGATAGAAAGGAGACACGAAAAACACAAGACCACAATAAAACCCCAAGACTACACTATAGCTACCAGCACGACTATGTTTATTGCAGCATTATTTACCATAGCTAAAATAGGGAACCAACCCAGATGTCCCTCAGTAGATAAATGGATAAAGAAAATGTGGTATATATACACAATGGAATTCTATGCCTCCATCAGAAAGAAGGACATTGCCCCATTTGTTCAGAAAGGGAAAGACTTGGAAAAAATTATATTAAGTGAAGTAAGCCAGGCCCAAAGTAAAATAGGTCCCATTGTCTCCCTCATTTGCAACAACTAGTATATGTCTGAGTCAAGCAGAAAAGATCAGATAAATTAACGTTAGGGGAATGAACCCCAATATAAGTATTCAAAAGTTTTTTTTTTTTCCTTTCATGCAATTGTTTCTATCATATTTATAAGATGATTTCTATGTTTCTTTGTATGTCCCTTCCCTACGGTTTAACCCGTGCTTTCACTGTATTTGATGTTGGTATGATTTGTGGAGGGGAAGGGAAAAAAAATCATTTAACTAGGGATACAGGTGGACCCATTGCAACAAAGAGATGTACAAGTCATTATGTCAACAAAAGAACTTTACAACGTTGGTGGGTGGTGGGGGGAAGTTCGGGTAGGAGGATGGTGGAGTATGGCAAAGGATAGAAGGGGAAACAAAGAGGAGGCAACAATTCTTGATAAGAAAGGTATTCGTTACCTTGCCCATGTAATTTTAACTCCTCTGTATGCATTCTCACAATTAAAAAAAAAACAAGAAAAAATGGAAAAAACAAAAATTTAAATTTAAAAAATGAAACACTTAAAAATTATGTAACTTTATAGATGATCTTGAGAGAAGAAAAGGATAGGATGAGAGAAAGGGAGGGATAGAAAGGAGATATGAAAAACTGAAAACTAAAAATTCTCAAAATTTGTTACTTGAAAATTATATAGGTATAAAGAGAAAATGCTGCTATTGAACAAGTTAAGCCAAGGAGGTGGCGGGGAAGATGGCAGAGGAGAAGCTGGAGGCTAAACAAGCTCTCCCAAAGAAAGCAGTTTTAGAATTCCAGTGAACAGCCCTAAGCCAGAGAATCAAACCAAGTGTGCCATCACAGGACAGAGAGTTAGGCCAGCTAAGGAAAATCAAGGCAAATAGAGAGATCTGAGCTCTTGCCAGCAGCCGCCACAGATGCGACCCAGTTTTTGCAGCCCCCAAGAAGGTGGATAACATGGCAGGAAATCCCAATTACCTCTCAGTCCTATCTCTTAACATTAACGGACTTAACTCTCCAATTAAGAGACACAGACTGTCTAATTGGATTAAAAAACAAGATCCTTCTATCTGCTGCCTTCAGGAGTCACATCTCCTGCCCATAAAAACAAACACATTTTCAATGTTAAAGGCTGGAGCAATATCTACCATGCAAACGGCCCCCATAAACAGGAGGGAGTTGCAATCCTAATATCAGATGAATTTGACTTCAAATTAAAATTCGTGAGAAGAGATAAAGAAGGTCGCTACATATTAATTAACGGATCTCTCCTTCAGGAGAATACAATTCTAAATATCTATTCGCCAAACAATGGAACACTCAAATTTATCCAAGAAACACTACTTTCCCTCAAATCCCACATATATCCAAAGACATTAATTGTTGGAGATTGTAACACACCACTCTCCCCACTAGATAGATCAACTCGGCAAAAACTCAACAGAGAAACCGCAGATTTAAACAGCTGCATAGATCAACTAGATTTTACAGACATCTATCGAACATTTCACCCAGCAGCATCAGAATACACGTTTTTCTCAGTAGCACATGGAACATTTTCTAAAACAGACCACATTTTAGGCCACAAAGCAAAATTGTCTAAATTCAGAAACATTGAAGTTATATCTTGCATTCTCTCAGACCACAAGGGAATAAAATTAGAACTCAACACCAAAAGCCACCAAAGAAAGTCTGGTAACACATGGAGACTGAACAACACACTGCTGAATCACGAGTGGGTCATTGAGATTAGAAAGGGAATTCAAATGTTCATGCTATTCAACAAAAATGAGCACACAAATTACCAGCTCCTCTGGGACACAGCCAAGGCAGTACTCAGAGGCAAGTTTATAGCTCTAAGATCCTATATCAACAAATAGGAGAGATCTGAAACCAACAATTTAATGACACATCTAAACCTCCTTGAAAAAGAGCAGCAAGATAAGGCCCAATACAATAGACAGAGAGAAATAATTAAAATTAAATCAGAATTAAATGAATTAGAATCCAAAACAACTATAGAAACAATCAACAAAACAGAGATGGTTCTTCAAGAAAATTAAAAAAATTGACAGACTTTTAGCAAATCTCATGAGGAAAAAGAAGAGATCACACCCAAGTAAATAAACTCAGAGATGAGAATGGAAACATCACCTTAAGAATCAACCAAGATTCAGAACATTATAAGGGAATACTTCTCAAAACTTTATGCTAATAAGTTTGAGAACTTGGCAGAAATGCACCTTATCCTAGCAAATATTGACATGCCAAAACTAAACCAAGATGAGTTAAACCATCTTAACAGGCCCATATCAAGCATTGAAATACAAAGAGCAATAAGAGATCTCCCAGGTAAGAAAGTCCAAGACCCGATGGTTTTACAGCGGAATTTTACAAGGCCTTCAAAGCAGAGCTCACACCAATACTCCTCCAACTCTTCAATGAAATTGAAAGAGAAAGTTCACTACCGAAAACATTCTATGAAGCCATCATAACCCTCATCCCAAAATCAGGCAGGGACTCATCAAAGAAAGAGAACTATAGACCCATTTCTTTGATGAACATTGATGCAAAACTTCTCAACAAAATTTTGGCCAATCTACTTCAACAATTCACCCAAAAAATCATACAACACGATCAAACAGGATTCATTTCAGGGTGCAAACTGGTACAATATATGCAAATCAATTAATATTAGTCATCACATCAACAGGAGCAAGAATAAGAACCACATGGTTATTTCAATATATGAAGTAAAAGCATTCGACAAGATGCAACACCCCTTTATGATGAAGGTTCTGGAAAAATTAGGAATCCATGGAACATTCCTCAATACAATAAAGGCTGTTTATGA